GCTAAAATATTAACTATTAAGATTTCCTTATGAAAAATACCTGAGCAAAACATTCTTTTCATGATCTGGCTCCTTCTATGATCTGTAGGCTATTTTAAAGAAGACATATTCAATTAACAGTGAGATGTGGAGAAAAATTCACTCTAACTTTAAAGAGGCTCCTTTAAAACTAAAGTAACATATTTCATATCCAAATTTGATTATTTAATGTTTTAAAAACAAATTTATATTTTGTTATGAAATCAAAAGAGAAATAATTTTAATGCTTTATATTCCAGATGTCTAATCTATCTGTCTGTCTGTCTGTTTCTATCTATCTATCTATCTATCTATCTATCTATCTATCTATCTATCTATCTATCTATATCTTCTATCTATCTATCTATCTATCTATCTATCTATCTATCTATCTATCTATCTATCATCTATCATCTATATATATATCTCGAAATTAGCAAAAGACTTTGGTTGCCAAATACCTTCCAGAGCATAAGCCTAGACCTGTATTGTCCAGGGTATGACTTCTTGATACTTTCTTCAAACACATGCTGGAAGGCAACCAGATTTCTAAAGCTTGTTTTTATGGAGTCAGCTATGGCTTGGTGATACTAATACAGTTTAATGCTTGAATAAGCTTAATAAAAAAAAGCTTATAAAAAGGCACACTTCATAGAAATAACTGCTTTGAGTAATTTAAATGTCATAAGTATGAGTTTGCCATTTCTCCCCCTTCAACAAAACCTATTCAAAGCTATTGAAATGATATAAGATGTCAATGTTCCATGTAATCTGTCCCAGGGCCATGAACTGACCATGGATTGAATCTGGGGAACATTTCTTTCTCCTAGTCTCTAGCAATAAGAGAATTTCTATCCCTAGTCTACCTGACAGAAGACACTGCTAATGTTTATAAAAGACATGTACCTGCCTTTTCTTTTAGTTTTACTCCATTGAGGTGCAAATATATAATTCCTAGAATACTCAATAAAATAACTGCTAATCTGTCTAGACAAAGCTGAAATTGTACAAAGAATGTGGGAGCCATATGAAAAAAATTAATCATTTCTCATTAGACTTATATCATCGCTTTTTATTAAATTTTTTTCTGTGTCAACAGCTATAATTGCTCCAGGAAATGTCTATTTTTAGTTGGGACAGAGTTACATATTTTCCTCCCATAGAACTTATAAGCAATTTTAGGTCTATTTGAATAAACAGAAGATAGCAATATTGGAGATTGAGCAACATGCAACATTTTAAGGTCAAATAATGAGAGGACTTTAAAAAATTGATTAAGTCAGTAAGGCAGTGGTGGCGCACACCTTTAATCCCAGCACTCGGGAGGCAAGACAGGCAGAAATTTGTGAGTTTGCCTGTGCTACAGAGTGAGTTCCAGGAAAGGCTCAAAGCTACACAGAAAAATGCTGTCTTGAAAAAAACCAAAAAAAAAAAAAATTGATTAAGCCATGTTTCAGTTTCCTGCCACATCAGACTTGAGTAAACTAAGCACCCTCTCCTAGATGTGTGCAGTATTAGCAACCTGCTTCCAACTAGGAGAGTTCCTAGAGATAGCTGACATAGTGTAGTGTCTATTCCTATCCAATTGTTTGCTTTATTGAAATATGGGCATGAACATCTTCCTTGTCTTTCAGAGATACATAAAGGAGCTTCAAGCTGATTCACAGTTCCTTGAAAGGCACAGGAAGTTGTTTTCTTTTCCTGTAGATGAAATAATTATAACACACACACACATTCACAGTAAATCTCTTCAATTCGTATTACAAATTCTTCATTGAATCAAGAAAAATCACTAGACTGGGGCTAGACTTTTAGATACACTTTTGAAATAATTCAATGAAGATTTGGGTTCCAGTTTAACTAAACAAGTGAATAGTATGCTATTACAATGATGCTCAATAATAAGTATATTTCCTTCAAAAGAATTAAATTGTACTTTGTTTGTCAGTTAGAAATCCTCTGGTTCTATTTTCAATCCCAATAGAGAAATAGAATTAGTTGTAGATTAACTGTAGAAAGCATCATTTGTGGTACTGATAGTAAATTTTATATTATAATTAAAGATGCATGAAAAAGGTTTACTATAATTGTTTTACAAAAGCTCCTGAGAGAATTAAATTTGTCATATCATTGCTTAAGAGTTATACACTCTCCTTTTTTTCACTTACATGTAATATGAAAAAATTCAAACTTAAATTACTATGCTTTTCTGAAAACCTACGAAAATTTTCTTATAAATAGGAAGCACGCTATGTATTTCTTTACATTTGAACATATGAAGAAAACTTGCTGTTTATGTCACCTACAAAAAGCATAGGCTTTCAAGTACTTCTTGCATTTCCTTAAGTTTCTGAAAGTTATTTATGGCAGTTGGTAGAAGTCATCATATCAACATTTCCTGCAAATTCAGTTTGGAACAGAAGTTTTAGGAAGACTTTATTGGTGAAGAATTCATTAATAAGGAAAGAGTGTGGATGTTTCACATGCTTGGAGGGGCAACATCCTCACATTGGATATAAAGAACCCCTGTTATGAATTCTCAATGTTATGTGACTCTACAGGCCTAAAGGGAGCAAGGTATACGTCATTCTTAAGGAAGAGTGTGTTTCTATGAAAATGTCTTTAGGAAAAATAAACAACAACAACAACAAAAAACCCACACACACACATGAGAGTAAAAAGAAATACAAAAAGCTAATGGGTTTGAAACTTTCGGCTTGGATTTATTTCTAAGTGAAATAAAATGTCATTACTCAAGGATTTTTTGTTTTGTTTCCTTTCTATGGGTTTGCAATTCAACAGCAATGGACATTTAGCTAGATGACTGCTGGGGCTCTGTGAAGAAAACTCATTTGTGCAAATTTGACTGAGAAAGAAAAGGTGTCAAAAGAAAGTACTAGAAAATTAATTCATCAAAGAAAATGATTATGCATTCATACTATTCAAATGAGTTTGCCAAGAACAGCAACAACAAGAGCAAATCTGCTCCTGACTCTGTGAAATGAAATCCGTGGAATTTGGAAGACTTTCTATAGATTCCCAAACATCTGATATATACCGAAATACTCATCTTCTCATCTGAGACTTCTGTAGTCACAGATCAATTGCCTAAAAGGAGCCAGATTTGTATGTACTGGACTTCTCATGGGTCATATTGGTTAATTTCCAAATCCCTAGCCTGTTATTATGTATAGTGCCCACTAACAGTTTGATTTTGGGCTTCAGGGCATATAGAAAGGGGCACCAGTCATGATTATTGTTATTTTTAACATGAAAGATGCAGTTCTATTCAAATAGTTATCCTAGTTAGGCTTAAAATATTTTAGTAGTTTTAACAACATTTTAAAAAGAAAATCAAAGTGAATGATTCATCCTATGTACAGAAGTGCATCTTTCCCCTGTTTAGTCACAGGCTCAAGTCCTAATCTTCAACTGATGTTACTAGGTCAAGGGAATCAGGTGGTTGGGAGGTAACTAGGTTTAGAAGAAGTAATTAGGGTGGGATATTTAATAGTACAATTATTGTTTTTATAGCAACAGACACTTAGAGGTGTTTTTTTTTTTTCTTGTCTGTCATTTGAAGACACCTTGGGAAGTCAGACTGCTGCCAGCCAGGATTGGATATCTTACAATAATCCTATCATGGCATCAGAACACCAACCTCCAGAAGAGAGGGAAAATGTAGTGTATGTTTAAGTCTATGGTTCTTATTATTTCACACAGAGTTGACTAAGACACCGAGCCCTCACATTTTTGTAAATTGATCATCAATGCATTTTTTTTTTATGCACGTACTCTGCCCCATCTGGTTTTAGAAACCTCTCCTACCTGTAACCCCTTTGAAGATTGTATAACCTTAATGATGCCTTAGTTATCAATTCTCACTGGCTCTCTGGAAAAGAGTGCTTCTGCTTAATAATAATGTATGCTTCTTAGTCAACGACTTTGCATATACTCCTTTTAAAATCTCATTAGTTTTTTTGTTTTTATTATTTTATAAGTGCTCAAGATCAAATATAAGGACTTGCACTTCATTGGTGAGAAATTTATCACTGATCTACATATGTTTACAGTCCCCAAACTAGTTGTCTATAATAACCAGACCACCTACAATTTTCAGCTCCTATGAGATAGACCTGAATAGTCATTTTCTTTTTTTTTCTTTTTTTTTTTTTTTTGTGGGGTACAACATTCGCTTTATTGACCCCATGGTGGGATGGGAAAAACTGGGAAGCCTGGCCGAGTCAGCACAGCAGCCTCTTCCTTTGTGGGAAGGCTCCAGGGCTAGCTAGCATCAGGAGAAGCATCTCATGACTGGGGCAGTAGTTACCAACACTGAACCTTCAACCTCATCACCCACCATCTCTCTCAAGGAATCACTTGTTTTCAGAAATGTCTTGAGCTGTACCCTTCCCTTATAGAAAAGTTGTCAAAACCTAAGCCAGAATGTATGACAGAGACCATATTCGACCAAAGCCCACAATATTTACTACTGAGCTCTTAACAGACAACATTATTTGTTTTATGGAGCTTGACACATTCTAGATAGAAGGCTGGGGTAGGGCAGGAGACTTCTGAAGGAAGCATAACTGTGTGGGTAGCGGAGTAGATGTGAATGAACATATGTACATGAACATTTCAGGGCGTCAACATAATCAGAAGTTGGGCCTGTAAGACAGGCCTATAATCCCACGTACTCAGGAGGCTAGTTAGGAGGCTCACAAGTTCAAAGGCAGCCTGTCTATAGAATGAGTTCAAGACTAGCCTGGGCAACCTAGTGAGAGTATCTGAAAAAGAGGCAGTAGAGCTGGGCGGTGGTGGCGCACGACTTTAGACTTTAATCCCAGCACTCGGGAAGCAGAGCCAGGCAGATCTCTGTGAGTTCGAGGCCAGCCTGGTCTGCAGAGCGATATCCAGGACAGGCACCAAAACTACACAGAGAAACCCTGTCTCGAAAAACCAAAACCAAAACCAAACAAACAAAAAAAACCCGAAAAAAACCAAAGAGGCAGTGGTCAGCACTCAAGAGATAGAGGATCAGGAGTTCAAGGCCAGTCTCAGCTATGTAGAGAGTTTCAGGCCAGCCTGGGCAATCTAATGAGAGGCTGTCTCAGAATAAGAGATAAAAAGAGGCAGTGGCAGAGTGTCTGCCTGACGTATGGACTGCTCTGGGTTCAGTTCCCAGTACTGGGTCTGTATGTGTGGTCAGAGCTGTACCTGCTCGTAAGGGCCGATCCAGCTGTCGGCCAGTTCCCTAAGGGTGCTATAGCGACGCTCAAATTCCTCCTTGCTACAGTGCTGTAAGAGCTGACCTACCTCCTCAGTGAGGAGAGTCACGGCCAGGTGCTTATCCAGGGTGGCACTCCACTTGCTTCCCAGGATGCTGTCGAGACTGGTGGCGCAGCCTGAGGCCCACTGAGCCTGCAGCATGTCAGGCTGGAGGACCTGGTGGCGGGCACTGAGCATGGCCAGGATGTGGCGGCAGGGCAGGTGGAAGGCTTGGTTAAAGTAGCAGCTGCAGCTGGCCGGGGACTGGGGCTGGACATTGTGCGTATCCTCCAGAATCTGTATGTTCACTTTTTCTGAGCCGGAGCCAATGAGGTGCATGGATTTCTGGACCACAGCAAGCTCACCTAGGCAGAGTTGGGCTGCTGGCCCCGTGCAGATGGCATTGAGGGAGTGCTGGATACGGGCTTCCACCAACTGCTCTGTGCTGGGGTTTTCAAGGCTGGCATCTGGAGGAGTGTGAGTGTCCTCGGGAGTCACGGCCAGGCTGAAGCTTGCTTTGTCAGAAGGGTTCTGCTGCATGTATCGGAACACGGATGCCATGCCTTGTTTCTCAAATGGAGTGGTGCCAAAAAACTGACTGAGGATGTGGGCTGTGACCTCCAGGCTCTGGAAGTATCGGTTGCTCTGGGCTCGGCTTCTCCAGCGGTGGGCCAGCCAGATGCGGTCATTGAGCAACCAGTGTGAGTGGAGCTCAGGCAGCCTGCTGGAGGGGATGCAGCTGCTCAGGAGTGTGTACAGCTTCCTCAGGTTGCCAGCTGTGGCTGAGCACATCGTGCTCTGCAGGGAGGACAGGAGGACACTTTGTACAGGCTGCTCTAGGGACAGTTGATAGAATTTACCCTGGAGGAACTTACAGATGTGGAAGGCTGAGAGCAAGACCTCAGCTGCGGGGAACTCCATGGTCAGGGTGGGCAGCAGGAGGAAGTGGGGATCCACCAGGATGGTACAGACTCTTTCCCATGCTGGGTTAAACTTTTTGAACACCTGGAACATCTGGGCCAGGCCTTTGGCATCTTCATTGGTAGGGATAGCAAAGTACACTGCTCGGGCAAGAGGCCCCTCAAGCTGTACCCGGGGTCCGTCTACCAGGAAGGTGTACAACACCTTGCCTCTTGGGTTATAGGTCCGGTGTATAAATAAAACCTCGGGGAAATGAGCAAAGAGATCTTGCATGAAACAGCTTTGGTAGTTGAAGGCATATAGCTGAGGGTTCTTGCCAACCTGGTGCAGAACCGTAGACGGGCTTGAGTCCTCAATAAGAAGTCCATTCAGCATTGTGAGGGCCATGGAGGAGCTGGGAGGTACCTAAAGCCCACGCTAGGATGCTTCCTCTGCAGGATTGCCGTCAGGAAAGCATTACATTTCTCAAGTGCCACATAATTCGATGCCTAAAGCTAGACTGTAGTTTTAGATTTTTGTTCCAATGGGCCTGAGCCCGGGTGTGGGATGCGGAAGCTGAGGTTCCTGTTCGAGCCCAGCGGAGCCGAAATCTACCTCCCACTGGTGGGAGCTGTATGCCCTAAGCGCTGCAACCGGAGTCCACGCCTCTCCTGCTGAGACCGCTCACCCACCGGCAGACAGCAGACGCGGCAGCCATTTCTCCCACTGGGCCCGCCTCCGACTCGTCATTTTCTTTTTACTTCTATCAACAACATATCTTTCCTTTCAACGTTTTCTCATATCAAAAAAAGTCTCATTTGTTACTTCACTTAAGAAGATATTATGGACAGCATATTCTCCTAGATGTAGAAATTTTGAGGTTAATATGGTACTTTAAAAAATTTCCCTGATCGCCCCGGGCGGTGGTGGCGCACGCCTTTAATCCCAGCACTCAGGAGGCAGAGCCAGGCGGATCTCTGTGAGTTCGAGGCCAGCCTGGGCTAACATGTGAGTTCCAGGAAAGGCGCAAAGCTACACAGAGAAACCCTGTCTCGAAAAACCATAAAAAAAAAAAAAAAATTCCCTGATCAACAGTTATGGTATTGTTTTTATCTAATAAGTATGAATTGTGGTTTACTGTATAAAAATGTTGCACCTAATAGGAACTATAATTATCATGTTCCTAGTAGGTTATAGCTTTGCTTTTCTCATTGTATTTTTCTACAAGACCTGTAACACTCAAAATAAGAATAACACTCATTTTTAAAGATCACAGAAACACAAGGCACTGAGTTTTTTGCTCCAAAACACTGAATTATATACTCGTCATTGTTTTTAAGTTAACTGTAGAAAAACTAAACTTCCAATAATAAACAATAGCTAAAATGAAAACAAGAATCTCAAGAGGTAGGGGAAACTGGACTTCAACTGCTAAAATACAAGAACATATCTACTATATTCCAGAAAGAACATACTGACTAAATACATTAAAGGATATTCTAAAAAATTGGTTTGCAAACAGCACACCATACTCTTCATAGGTAGAAGCATCTTCCTGCTTCCGTAGGGTAAACTGCCATTCCATTGCAAGCTCACTTGCTGCAATGGACGAGCCTCTTTTCTAAGGGACATCTTCCCCTCATAACTTGTTTGGGTCTTGTATCCTGAAACCCCCACCTTAGGATCAGGGCTTTCAGTTAATATTTTTGGGGACCCACCCTTTCAGACCAGAGTAGCAAGGGCAGCTCTCCTTCTCCCTTGGTCAGATCCCCAGTGAGCTGTTTCTAGGTGTTTCTAGGAGCACTTCAATTATAGAAATTGACTTTGCAACTCTCCAAAGAAATTCTTTTCACTTTAAGACCATGGCAGTTCAGCCACTTGAAAAACAAAACAGAAATCTAATACTTCCTTTCAAACCTAAGAGTCATTTTTATAAAAGTTCAGGGATTCAGAATGTTCTGATTGATCTATTATCATGGTACAAGATGAAGAAGAATCTTATTTCCTTAACAGAGGCAAGTATCTCAGTCAAAACTTGTGATGGCTAACAGCAGAAACACCAAAATAAAACTTAAGTTATCAGTATACACCCCTGTATCTAGAAAGGCCAGGCACACATCTGGATCTAAGAACCATTTGCTCCATTGGTCCACACTGTGGTTGATACTGAGTCTCTCTACATCTTGTAGCTGATTCTCTATGGTAGACTTCAGAGCCACTATAGGCTCTACTCACAACTTTATAGTAGGAAAATAATGTCTTTCACTGTTTTCCCGAAAACTGAGGCATGGAGGGTTTCTGTCACCTCTCACAATCATGAATTGTGTGTGATCTGAATGGCCAATGTTCTTATGGTTGGTGATGAAGAACTGGTCTTCATTCTGTTCCCAGCATTAGAGAAAAAAACACCCAATATTTATTTTTGGTTTTGTTTGTTTTGTTATTTTTTAGAGAGATAAAGAAAGAGAGAAAAACAACATGAAGTTGGGTAGGTAGAGAGAGAGCTATGGAGAATCTGGGAGTAGTTGAGGGAAGACAAAGAGTATGATCAAAATATATTGTATAAAATAAGATTAAATATAGCTACTTATGTATTCCTATCTCACTAGATAAAGTTACCAAAATGTCTTCTATAATTTCATCATCCCCTACCAAATGACATGGAAAATGATATTAATGTAAATATGAGACTTTAACTGAATTTGGAGGAGAATCAGGTTTTAGTTTGTTACAAAAGTAACTCTCTTCCTTTAAAAAGGGTTAGTGATTTCATATGTGTCTCACATATCTAGACTCTGTGTTCTTCTAACAATATATGATTTATTTTGTGTCAGAAATACCACATACATTGATGAGATATATATGACTATTTTAACATAGGTCATTATTGACTCTTTCCATAAATTATGTTTCCATAAATTACATTTCCTATTAATATCTTTTAGTTTTTACATGCTTAGAGGAAACCATAATTAATTCATCCCAACTCTCCATATGATACATATACATTCTACAAATACTAGTTGCATAAGAAGACAGATATTTATAACCTTTTCAACTATACCTGTACAAGGATATTTTCAAGAGATTTTTTAGAAAATTCTTATTTTCATAAGTTTTATAGTCCAATGGACAAAGCTCATTCTAATATGAGATTGTGAATATGTATTCAGTGTATTTTAGGAATGCACATAATGCCACTAATAGTATATACTAGTATATCTCTTCGTTGCTCTCCAGATATTGAAGAAACACATTGTATTTCACAAACCACATCCCATGCTGAAATGCAAAATCGCAATGCTTTTATGTCATGAAAATGCAGTGCTCTGCTGATATCAATGTGCAACCTAGGCCTGTCTCCCTAGAGACTCTTGGCAAGCCTTATATTGCTGGTCCTTCACAGTAACAAAAAGGGGCAAGTGCAGTTGGCAGTGTCTTCAAGTGATCAATAAGGCATACTGAGGTTATGTGACTTCTGCCGGGAGGCTTCTGATTCAGTCTTCCATACGCAGATTGTGAAGCCATCTTTGGAACCCTGGTACAAGCTGTTCCATATTCTGCTTTACAGCGCAGAGCCACATGGACTGTGCAGTCGGACCCCTACTTCTTTTGAACATGAGTATATACGGCAATCAAAATAATCAAAACAACTAGGATTTAAGAGGAAGCACAAACAGTAGCCCCACTTCTCTAACAGTAGCTCCAGTGCCGAAGTGCCAAGTTTCCAGAAGTGAAGCCCACGCCAAACTGCTCAGTAACATTTACCTCTCATTTTTTTCAAGAACATCAATAGCTTGCTCCTGTCGTCTTTATGTGCTTCTCAAACATTAAATAATCTCAGATTACACACTGTGTCCTTCGAATTTATCTTGACCAGCTGTCAAGGAAGGCAATTTTATGCCCTCTCTGTTTTCTGCCTGTTGGCTTTGTGTAGCTTCTGTAGCAAATTTGAATAGAAAATGAAAGGTACAGTTTAGTGTGATTTGTGACAAAGGCGAGAAACATGCTTTCAGGAAGATAACCTTCTGATTACTTTCCAATTGTTTCTTGTTTTCTAGTTGGACACTCGGCATGCATTTCCATAGCACTTGAGCCTTGCTTAATTTTTATATGGAAAATTTGACAGTGTGAACGAGAAAACATTAAAAAGGATAATGAAATTACTAAATTAGTGTTTACGTTATCATTTTCGTCTGATTAAAAATTCTACCAAGCTTTATTGTCAGGATTATAAAGTGAATTAAAGTTCAGAACTCCTACTAATTCTTTAAAAAAAAAAAACCATGAGATTCATATTTTAACTGTGAACTCATATTGCTTCTTGAATTTGTATTTTCTCCATTTTCCTTGATAGAAAAAAGAAAATTCACGTTTCATCTAAAATTCTCTATTTTTTAAACATGTGATGAATATCCTAGAAATGTGAGTCCTGTCTCTTTAAACTCACACATTCAGTGGTAAGACACCCAGCAGGTTGGCTCAGCACTATCTGCAGCCGCACGTCTTGACTTGCTCAAGTGGATCTCAAGTGCAGAAACAATTCTTTAGGAGTCATAGAAAGCTTTCCAGAGGTTAAAATACTGGAGATTAGCAACATATCAACTTTCAGGTAGGCTACTTCTAAACACTCATAATTCACTTACTCTCCTGAAAATCATTATTCTGAAGGTTTGATTCACTTGTGGCCTCACTTGGGTCTTAAATCTCATTTCAAAGCACTCCAATCATTCATCCATTTCAGAACTACCATTAGGAGTGATGGGAATTTGGCACAAAAATCAATGAGAGGATATGATGTGAATTCTTTCTAATTTTTTCTTCTTTGAGTACCACTTCAAATACAGGTTATGAAATCTGTTTTTAAAGGTAGTAGTCCACCTTGCTATCATTTCCACAAAATTGAGTTCATGAACTTGAAGCATGCATCTCCATAGTTTTTCTTTTTTAAAAGGAAGTCTGGCAATATTATTGCTAATATCTATCAAAAGTTACTTTTAAAATCTTATTTAAATCATCTCACCAATGGTGCCCCTGATTAACATTTTAACCTTTTGAATATCTAAGACCGTATTTACCATTTTATCCTAAAACATTCTTTGTGTAATTGCATTCTATTTGAGCAATACATTGATGTGCACTAGCCTCTGGGTAGTCAAAAAATTATATGACTTTTATTTCTGTGAAGAGAAAGTGCCACTTTATGGCCAAAATCTATTCAGACTTCATTAATTAGAGTGTTTACTTTGCATACAGTATTTTCATATTTTAAATTGAAATACTTAAAGGATATTTTATGAATTAAAACTGTACCATAAGCATTACTGTGTACAGATCTGTTTCAAGAGCCCATACTTTATTTTCTAGTTTAAAGGATTTCTTATACTGAATATTTGTACCACTTATTCTATATCACTTAGCTAAAAGCAAATAAAAGTATGATCATATCTTGTTACAAACAAATAAAGCATATTTATACATTTAACACTATCTGGAGAAAATTGGGAAAAAATTAGAACATTTTAACAAAAGTTGTTTTTGAATGGTGAGACTTAAAATGATACATTTAACTTATTTGTTTATAACTTTCCTATCTCATATTTTGTAAATTGTGACATGAGTTATAGATTCTTGAAGCCAACTTAATGGATATTCTAAACTCTCCCAACATTAATCTTAGTTCTGTGTACCTACCAAAACATAATGATGTCAGTGAGGGCAAGTTAGGCAATTAAAACAGGGAATCAAGAAAAGTTTCATTCATTTGAACTACTTTATCATTAATTTTTATTCTCTCCATAAGAGGATTTTTTTCTTGCTTTCTGAATTTCAAGAGCACCCAAATCAAAGGTCATAGTAGTAAAAGGCATCTTAGCCCTCAAACTCAGCTTCTAATAATGAGAATGGGAAATTGTACTGGAGATTACTTATCACTTAAACCCCTGTATTTCAGGATAAAATCCTGAGATTGGGGTAACGTCCTGATGGACTATGGGTTATTGTCTTACACTTTGCAAGTATGTTCCACTATAGAAAATAGCACCAAGGGTTTACTAGACTCATATAGCCTGTGTTATCTCGTTTCTTATATTTGAAGTTCATTTATGAATTATACTTTATTTTCTGGCTGTGTAACTAGGAAGTACATCTACAACAACAGCTGTGATAGACAACAAAAATGGATCTGTGCCCAAGTCCCCTGGAAAGGTGCTGAAGAGGACTGTCACGGAAGACATCGTGACAACCTTCAGCTCTCCTGCAGCCTGGCTTCTGGTCATCGCTCTGATAATCACATGGTCAGCGGTTGCTATCGTTATGTTTGACTTGGTGGATTACAAAAACTTTTCAGGTAAGAGGCCTTACATTGGGACTTTAAATCTAAGGACAAATGTTCTACTAAGGTGTGCCATTGTTTCTTTCCACCCCGACTTAGTGTGAGGAAATAAACACACATGCAGACATGATGTGAATCACCAGAGTCAGTTTCTTCTATTTCCTTTCTTGGTCTACTGTGTTCACTGATTTGAAAATGCAATCAGTGTCCTCATCTTTAAAGCTTCATGCAGGCTAAATGCTGCAGCTTCATAAAAAACGATGATTAAAAAGTCCGGTGGAGACTTATCTTTGAAACTGAATTAATCAGCTATGAAGGAAGAACAACCGATGGGTTTTACACTTGACAAAATAAAGTGCAGACTATATTAAATAATTTTGGACGAACAAGATATTTGGAACTATTTCTAAGGCTCACTGGCGTATGCTCTCAAGTTTCTTTTCCAGGCACACTCTGCCCCTCCTACTAACCCGCCTATTTTCAGTCTCAGAAAGTAGAGAATGTCAAGAGGATTTTCCCAGAATTGTTCATAATGAGTTACTGCATCTTGATTGTCCACATGCCCCTTATGTGTTTGGAGCACAGCAGGAATAATGCAAGTGAGAAAAGGCAGATTTTCATTATGGCCTATTCAACCTTAGGATTCATTGTTTATCTCTTCGTTCAAAGATACTTTAGATGTTGGAATTATATATATCTGCCTCCACACCTGACACTGATTTTAATTCTCTATTGACTATGAGTTCCTGGAGGAAATGAATTATTTGGGTATTCAGTACATATTCCATGAGTAGATGCATGGATTTATACCCATTACTGTTTACTACTAGTGAAAATATTTCATTGTCATCTTATTGTGCACTTCCTACACATTCTTTCCCCCTCCCCTCATTTTTTCTTTACTTCCACTGACAGCAGGATATTTAGCATCTGGACACTGAGAAATGGAATCTATGTAATCAGGAATCCTCTCCTTCTCATGGAATTTTAGTCATTCAATAATTACTTATCAAGATCCTACTATTTGTACCAGATAATTGATATGCTAGTTGAGCTAAAACTGTAATATAAATATCATAAAGGCATCAATGTCTATTATTGGAGTTTATGGATACAGAGGCATGAATGTTATGATTTCTGCCAGCTATATCTTTGGTAGTTGGACTATGTTTGGCATCGTTTACCAGAGAGATAAGACCAAAATACCAAACAATGAGAGCCATAGGTTTCTGCTCTAATAGGTAATGAATTTACTGTACACTTTCATAATTTTTAAAAAGAAAATGCAGTTGCATTATCTATAATTTAAAATGACAGAATTTTAAGTGAAAAAATATTTGTTAGATTACTCTAGAAAACTGCACTTTTACTAAGTCTAAATGGACTGCCATATTTCATATATCCTTTCCATTAAAACATAATTTCATTTACTTTAACCTCAAAACTAAATATGACCACAAATCATAGTTAACTCATTTTATAGTATATATTTTGAAGAGCTCCATGTCAATCTAGTATCTCTAAGTTAATTTCATAAGCAGATACAAAAATTTGTTCTATAAAATGCAAAGCTAGCTTCAATTAGATTTTTAGATTAGATTACTTAAATATAGGATATATTTTCCATGGAAGTACTGTCATCAAGTGCTATGAATTGGTACCAGTCACAGACATTTTATCTGATGGTTAATACTTCAGTTAGTCTTCAAAATGAAGAACAGCTCCTCTGTGAAGCTTCCTCCTTATAATGTCTATATTTATTAATGACAAAACCAGTCATTCCAACAAGAAGACCCTGCAGTCAGGTTTTTAAAGTCTCTGTGGATTGAGAGAATTCATTACAGCCTATGCTCCATAAATACAAATGATTTATAAATCTGAGCTTTCTTATCAGTGGCACAACATCTATTCTTATACTTCACACTCATGTCTCTCTTCATGGAACTTACGAAATTTTGTACCAAATTCATCAGTCCCTACCCATTAATAGATCCTTAAAGACATCTTCATAATGTGAATATCTGAAAAGGTCATGTTTTCTTGGTTGGCTGAGTACAGCAAATATCTTTTGTATGAAATTCAAGTCTTGACTGAGCTCTTCATTTTTATCTTGTAATTTAGTGCGCATATCCAATTCATCAACCATATTTATTTCTGTTCTTACCCATTCATCCTAGGCAAACACAAACTTGTATTTCTTGTAGCTGGAGTTTTCCTGCCTGGCCCACAGTCAGGAGAAATCTCTCTCACCCGCCAGTCCCACAGTCGCTCAGACCCAACCAAGTAAACACAGAGACTTATACTGCTTGCAAACCATATGGCCGTGGCAGGCTTCTTGCTAACTGTTCTTACAGCTTAAACTAATCCATTTCTATAAATCTATACCTTGCCACATGGCTCGTGGCTTACCGGCATCTTCACATCATCTTCACATCACCTTGTCATCATGGCGGCTGGCAGTATCTCTCTGACTCTGCCTTCCACTTCCCAGAATTTTCTTTTTTGTTTGTCCCGCCTATCCTTCCTGCCTGGCTACTGGCCAATCCGTGTTTTATTTACTAACCAATCAGAGCAACATATTTGACATACAGAACATCCCACAGCACTTGACAAATGGATATTATAACAAAAACAGGCACACAGAAAAACATGCCATATTATGATGATCAATGGGTAAGAAATAAAAAAATTATAAAAGTTGAAGTTTAAAAGGAAACAAATATTAAAAAACTCAAAAGCTTTTAGCTTATTAAAATTCAAGTGATTCATTTATGTAACCAAAAGAATACAAGTTCAAAGAGTTGGCACAATTCTAACAAAAAAATCTGTACCTCATATCAATCTTTGTATATATTAGACACACTCACTTATATTAAAATTCTAATTCCTTTCATCCATTTAGCGAGTTGTTTTGTAATGATTTTATTATTAATAGTATTAGTATTACTATTTACATCCTGACCACAGTTTCCTCCCAGTTCCTCAATCCCACGTCCCCTATGCATGTCCTCCCCATCCATTCCTTCTCCATTTCTGTTAAGATAAGGGCAGGCCTCCCATAGATGTTAACTAAACACGGCATATTAAATTGCAGTAAGACTAAGCACATCCCCATGTAATAAGGCTGGACAAGGCAACCCAGTATGAGACATAGGATTCCAAAAACTGACAAAAGAGTCAGAGACAGCCCTTGCTCCAACTCTTAAGAGTCACACAAGAAGAGCATGCTACACAACTGTTACATATGTGCAGAAGGCCTTATCAGTCCCACGTAGGCTCCCTGGTTGTCAGTACAGTCTCTGTGGGACCCTGGGAGTCTTAGTTGATTCTGTGGTTTTTCTTGTGGTGTCCTTGACCCCTTTGACTCCTACAATTCTTTATTCCCTCTTCTGCAGGATTCCCTGAGCTCAGACTAATGTTTGGCTGTGGGTCTCTGCATCTGTTTCCATCAGTTGCTGGATGACACCTCTCTGGTGAGAATTAGGCTAGGCACCAACCTATGAGTGTAGCAGAATACCTTTAGACATCATTACATGAACATTTTTTTTTTTTTTTTTTTTTTTTTTTTTTTTTTGCCAGTCATGTTTGGTTCTGTCTTAGGTCTCTGAACTGTTTAGCCTCTGGGACCTTGCCACCTAGGCAGTTTCAGGGGTGGTCTCCCTCTCATGGCATGGGTCTCAGGCTGGACCAGTCATTGGTTGACTACTCCCATGATTCCTATGCCACCCCAGCACATCTTCTAGGCAGGACATATTGCAGATCAAAGGTTATGTGGTTGGGTTGGTGACCCAGTCCATCCACTGGAAGTCTTGCCTGGTTACAGGAGATAGGCAGTTCAGGCTCCATATTCCCTATTGCTAGGAGTCTTTGTTAGGGTCACCCTCATGGATTCCTGGGAGTTTCCATTGTATTAGGTTTCTACCTCACCCAGAAATGTTCCCCCCAATTCCAGTTATTTCTCCCAGTACTCTCTCCCTCCATCCTCTTTAAACCTGATCCCTCCTCTTCCCATTCCCATCTGCCCCCAGTCCACCCACAAAATCTATTCTATTTACCTTCTCTAGGGAGATCCATGTGTCCCTCCTTGGGCCCTCCTCGTTACTTAGCCTCTCTGGGTCTGTGGATTGTATCATGGTTATCTTTTTCTTTCTTTTTTTTAAGATTTATTTATTTATTATGTATACAGCATGTATGACTGCAGGCCAGAAGAAGGCACCAGATCTCATTACAGATGGTTGTGAGCCACCATGTGGTTGCTGGGAATTGAACCCAGGACCTCTGTAAGAGCAGTCAGTGCTCTTAACCTCTGAGCCATCTCTCCAGCCCGGTTATCTTTTTCTTTACGGCTAGTAGCCACTTATAACTGAGTACATACCATGATTGTCTTTCTGGGACTGGGTTACCTAACTCAGGATGATCTTTTATAGTTCAATCTGTTTGCCTGAAAATTTCATTATGCCGTTTCTTAAACAACTGAGGACTACTCTATTGTGTAAATGCACCACATTTTCATTATCTATTCTTTGGCTGAGGGACATTTAGGTTGTTTTCAGATTCTGGCTATTATGAATATTGCTGCTATGAAAATAGTTGAGCAAGTTCCCTTGATTGAGCTTCCTTTGGGGTATATGCCCAAAAGTGGTATAACTGGGTCTTGAGATAGATTGATTCACAATTTTCTGAGAAATCACTATATTGATTTCCAAAGTGGCTGAACAAGTTTGAACTCCCAACATAAACTCCCTTTGCTCCACATCCTCACCAGCATTCCATCTTACACCTGTCAAAATGGCTAAGATCATCTAGTCAGTTCTTAATGAGTTTTTTGATGTTTCATCACAAGAAAAATTTTACTTCAATAAGATATTTAAAGAATAAAAACTACTTTTATATTTTCAATACTGTTTTAACTGGTATAATTTAAATTTTTACTAGGAAGTAGTATATATGTATTCATGATGATTCTTTTGTATTATCCCAATATATTTTCAATATGTAATTATTAATATTTTCAA